GCTTTTTGGGAAGCCAGTGCATCGTGTATATAGTCAGTCGTCATGATCAAAAAGTGATTCTTAAAGGAATTGTTAACATGACATGTGAAGTATGCACTGAATTCACTGAGACTGACCAATATGCCCAGACTGATATGGCACCTAGTTAGGTTGCCACTCATCTCTGTATCATCCAGCAGTACTGAACCATCAACAAAGTCAACATTGACGTTGAGATTGGGTCCAGTATCCTCACATCTTTGCTGCATTTATCTGTTTAAATCTATTATATATGTTGTTTTAGTCACGATATGGCTGAAATATTGCCAAAGTGACTTTACATTTTAACTCACTCACTCACTCACTGTTTAAATCTATTAAAATCTAACATAATAATAACGCCAATGGGGCATCCATGCAAATAGCTTATATACAGACTATGTGTATGTGCAGAAATACAACTCCACTGCGACCATTTGTTTCATTTTGTTTGTTTCTTACACACATATGCAGTCTCTAAATAATCAAATCTGGTTCAGGGAATCCATTGACCGGGATCAGTCTACACAACTGGTATATAGTGGCATCGGCCAAGTCAGCGAGACTGACCGCCGATCCCAATCCTGTCAGTTACCTCTGACAACAAGCATGGAGAGGAAGAACTGAAAAAACTGAAATGTTAATTTTAATTTTTAACTGTTTCATGAATGTCCTTTATACACACACGTACGCACCCATACCTTCACATGACGATACTGCTAGCGGTTTGTAGTGCAGAGCTCTCAGCCTTGAAGTAACCGCGTCTTCCAATAGTCCAGTACGTGTATATGTATCAGGTTATTTGTCAAGTCAGCTGAACACACTTGTCAAGTCAGCTCGTTCACCACCGTATTGTTAGAAATGTAATCGTATGTCTCCAAAACGTTGTTCTAATCGTTTTTAGTTAATCTGTGTGTAATAAAGACTTTACAAGCACACTGATGTCTGTCAGTAAACGGCCGGCAGTGGCACTCCATGCATCAAGAATATATTTTACTCGAGTAAGTTGTCACATTTTACTACCGCTTCGATTTACTGAATGTCGATGGCCAGAACGGGTGCAGGAGGTACATCATATTGGTTCAGATCACACTATTGAGAACACGATTGCGCACATTTGGGGACGCTGCATTAGTCATATTCCAACGTTTTGATAACAGCAAGTTACAGGTAGAACACTGACCATGCAAACCAATGATCAATATCTTTGTTATCCTTGGGTTGAGGCACGATGACACTCAGCCAGGTCGCACACACTCGTCCTCGACAGTCGGCTACTATCTTGTGTTCCCTGGTATCTCCTGAGGACCGCGTCGAGAGGGTCGGGGTCTCCAATGTTCAGAATCTTCTTAGAACCATTCATGCAGGGTAGGAATCAGCGTGTACCCAATTTTTTCAGACATGATGTATGTGTCAGTAATACTGATAAATCAATATCTTATACTTCTATCTGAATAATAGTAACAGTTATCCAAGTAGTTTCTCCATTTATCGGATGCATAAGGTTGTTCTGACTTGCTCGATTGACAAGTGAGACGTCATGTCCGCTTACAAAGTATAAGCCAAATATAAGCCACTGTTTGCTTGAAGAAGAGACTACAAAGTAACGTGGTAGGCCTCAGTGACGTGGTTCATTGCTTTGTTACACATTCCATTTTCTGGGATCAATGCTTATCATATCAATCACCAAATTGTCTGGTCCAGTTTCGAATATTTACGCTGACATTTCGCCGAGACCGGCAACACAACGCAAACACACGAACGTACTCTGGCACGCATATATATACACGTATAGTCTGGAAAGTCTAATGAATGGCACATGAACAAATTGTAGCGTGTGAGACCTGATCAACATTGGTTTGGGTCAAAATGCCGTTAGTGTGGTTGACGTTTACCGTAGAATGTTCTGACATCATATATCAGTGTTCCACCTGACGAATATGTGAAACGTGTGGCATCTGAATGTGTGGGAAGCGTCCGACAAATACACACACCTATCCAATGTGTGAGTTCTTTCACACTCACTGTGATATGTTAAAGGGCATGTAAAGCATGCCTTTGACGATTGTCAGTATGTTGAAATCAAAAAGCAAGCATGCGAGGATGTACTTTATGAAACGAATGCTTGAATGAGAGAATATTTAATTATGTAATAAGTTTCGCGCATATAACGTCAAGACATATCACAACGCGCTTCACACATTGTCACTGTGAGGGGAATCGAATACAGATCGTAAGCGTGGCGTATTAAAAAGATGACCTAAGGTTGAGCCACACCATATCTTCCATGTGTTGGTTGTGTTGTGTTGTGTTGTGTTGTGTTGTGTAAGGAAATGGGTAGTTGTTGTGCATCGATGTGATAACGTCGCGCAGAATGATCACTCGTACATACTGACAAAAAATAATTCGACATGGTACATGTTTTAGATCTGTTGTCTCTATCCAAACCTCTTCTACAAAGGTTGCAAGATCAAAATACTAAGAATGGCATTATAGGCATTTGGGCATGTGATACCATAAATGAAACGGCAAACACCATATTATAATAACAAGAAATACCTGCTACAGTGTCTATTGAACGGTTCCGTCCGAAAGGGAACGGATAGCATAAGCAACTGTTTATGAATCAGTATCAAGTAGGTGTTCAGGGTGTTGAGAAAGGTTGAGGACCCGTCACAAATCCTTATACATTCAGATGAAGTGTTCATCTGAATACACCTTAGACAACATGTTACAAATACAAAATGGATAGCAGGAGATATCATATTTGTCACCTTCTGAAATGTCCTCCACATCGCCAGCTTTCCATTGATTTAATAAGCCTTGAATGTAATGATTCTGACCAAACGAACTTGGCCCTAATTGACACGATTGTACTTAAACAACTGTGAAATATGGGCACAAAAGACTGGAGCTGTTGGCATATTGCCCGACATGAAGAGAAAACTGACCATTGTTTTAAGGCAAAGGCACAAACTATATTGTACTTATATATGTTCAAATAAGGCCATCAAGTTAAAAAAATAATATTTTGATCTTTCATCACGGGAGACAGATATGGTAAATTGTAATAATAACTGCGACAAATAATAATAAACTGTAATAACTGCGGTAAATTGTATTAACAAAATCTCTCAATACGTCATATTCCATAAAAATTCGAAGCCCAATGTTTTCTCAACTTTAACATGTGAAGAGTAGCAATAAGAGTAATTTCTTTCATTACATTCTAAAAGGCAGGTGCTACATGTTTTTGTTGTTTTGGGTTTTTATAAAACGAGCCGAAATGTCTAGGGAATTTTACTGTGAGGTGATCACATTTCCGACAAAACTACTGGCGTACATATACATGAAAAGGTAAAATAATAGTTCAACGACATTTGGTGACAAAAAACAAACAAACAAACAAAACAAAGAACAATGTTTGTTACAGATGTCTTTATTTAAGGTCAATTTGCATAATTGGGTTAATTTTCTTTCAACAAACATGTCGTAATTGTTCTGTATACAATGTATATCGTACGATGATGTGTTGTAAACATTTATTTCATAATGAATGGACGGGTAAACAAACCAATGGTTTGTCGTAACGCCGCTCCACTACAAAGACAAACTGTATTATCTATGTACCAAATACAGACTTCATAAGTCTGTCTGTCTGTCTGTCTGTCTGTCTGTCTGTCTATCTATCCGTTCCACTTTTCATCTTTTAGTCTTTTATAGGTATTTTTTGTATGAATAATTGATATTTTGAGACTTACATAGGTTTGTCTTGAATTTATTCTTAATTAATCTTGTAGTGGTTTCCCCACTTTGAGATCATTTCTAACTCACAATTTAGAGATGCTGCTACATTAATAGGGCCATCAATTATTACGAATAATAACATACAAAGCAATATATAGTATGAACAAGATCATTTATGTATGCGAGACGTAGATGTTCATTATATTGATCACTGGATTATCTGGTCCAGACTCGATTAACTACAGAACGCCACCATATAGCTGGAATAATGCTGAATGCGGCACAATTGGGATCCGATGACATGTGTCAACCACGTTGACCACCTGATCCCGTTAGTCGCCTCTTACGACAAGCATGGGTTACAGAAGACTCTAGATTCTAACCCGGATAAACATGTGCCAACATTTTAACCAGCTAAATTGACGTAATGAAGTAGGGTAGTTTAACAATGTCGACATGTGCAAATAATATACAATTCTGTTTGCTGTTGAATATTGTTTGTGTCCATTAAAATTTCGATAATGCAGAAGTTTGCTTTGCTGTTAATAGTAGGATAATCGCCAATCATAGTAGAATGTCACAGAAAGTGTATAGATGCTGTGGTGATATAGCTCATCACAAGGACTGTATCTATGTAGTGAACAAAGATATCATATAGCCTATAATTCAGTTTGGTTAGTGTAGTGAGTGCATGGTCTCTAACATGCTATACAAACCCTATGTGAGTGATCAATTTAATAATGATTTACGTTTACTTTTTCTGATAATTGCACTTTATGAATCTGTTTACCGCACAGAGCATGTCGATATGAATGTTGAACGAACAAAACTATTCCTTTTTTCTGTCTTTTAATAGGAGGGTAATTGGAACTAACCAGGATGAAGATGAACAATCATTGATTGAATCGGCAAAAATGAGATTTGTTGCAGTTTTATTGTAAAGCATGTTTCAATGTTTTCGGAGTTTTTGACTTCCCAAAAGGCATATTGGCTTATCTTAACTTCATGTATACGTCCTTGTACACTAGCAAGTTAAAAGTATTTACTACATTTTACCGAGTTTTTGCAATTTATGCAATTTTTATCTTCATAATTATGTTGAGTTCTTCGACTACTTTGTGACCCTCTTACTATTTTACGTGGTAGCAGGCATCACTCAGGAAGAGGTTTCATCTTTTGATCAGACAAACCTTTGAAACCCACACAAATACACAACAAATACAAAATGACACTTCTTCATAGACATTATTTTATATAAAAAACAAGTATACATGAGAAGTGCATCTATACAACAAGGCTGCATCAAGCTCGTGTCTCACTAGTAGCAAGCGGACCTAGTGCCCCTTGTCATCCGTAATATGAACAGGATACAGGACATAGAATGTCGCAAGTCACCGATTTTGTCGCGAGTTAAGACTTCCTGTCATCACAAATGACCAGTCCGTGCTGGGTTGCACGGTTGCTGACAAAACCATTTCGTTCACAGTTTATTTCGTCACGTGATGTGTATCCGTATTACTTTACTTTGCGCCGAGTACAGGCACAAGTATCAATCAGACAGTTGTTTCGCGAGAAACATTAAGGTAACAGTGTCACTTTGAGGAGAGGTATCCGCGCCTAAATTATATGGTCAGTTGGTTCAATTCCATTCTGTCCATTGGTGTGAGATTCGGTTCATTCATAATAACATTTCTGATGAATGCATCTCGCTGAAAATCTGGAGCATCCATCATATCGGCCATATTGAGATTTTCTCTCCAAGACAACCTGTTGTCTGGGGTCCATCCAGATATCACCATTGGTGCACCGATGGGCTGTCCATGAAGCATGGGAGGTTGGTGAGGAGATGGGAGGTTGAGTGGGGGCTGGTGGAGAGGTGGGAGGCTCAGTTGAGGGTGGTTCAGAGGCTGGCTCGCTGGTTGGGAATTCATTGGCTGAGGGTACATTGTCGCCTGGTTCCTGGGATCAGTGTTCATAGGTAGTGAGTTCATTTGTACATAGTTCATCTGTTGTGAGTTCACAGGATTTTGGTTAACACTTTGTAAGTTCATTTGTTGATGGTTCATGGAATGTGAGTTCATGGAATTTTGGGTTTTTGGGTACGAGTGCATTGAGGACTGGTGGTTAGGTAGTAAGTTCATGTGTGGTGGATTTATAGATTGTGAATTAATGGTTTGTTTGTTCCCTGAATGAGAGTTCAGGAAATCTTGGTTTATTGGAAATGAAGTCATTGGTGAATTCATGTTAGGTAGAAAATTCATATGTCTTGGATTCATTGATTGAGAAATAATGGTTTGTTGGTTCGCTGATTGTGAACTTACAGAATTTTGGTTTATTGGAAATGAGTTCATTGGTATGTTGTTGTTAGTCTGTGAATTCATATTTAGTTTGTTAACCGATAGTGAGTTGTGGGATTGTTGGTTCCCTGATTGTGCGTTCATGGCATTTTGATTTCTTGGATATGTGTTTATTGGGGGTTGGTTGTTAGGTAGTAAATTTACATGTGGTGGATTCATAGATTGTGAATTAATGGGTTGTTGGTTAGCTGATTGTGGGCTGATGGGATTTTGATTCATTGGAAATGAGACCATTGGTAAATTGTTGTTAGGTAGTAAATTCATATGTGTTGGATTCATAGATTGTGAATTTATGGGTTGCTGGTTCCCAGATTGTACGTTCAAAGAGTTGTGCTGTATTGAAAATGAGCGCACTGTTGATTGGTTTTTAGGTTGTGAGTTCATATTGGGTTGATTCACGGGTAGTGAGTTTATCTGTGGTTGGTGAAATGATTGGGAATTACTGGATGGTTGATTAATCTGATATACGTTTGTTGCTGATTTGTGACCAAGTTGTGAATTCATTGGTGAAAGGTCAACAGGTTGTGAGTTCGTTTGTTGTTGATTCATAGGTTGTGGGTTTATCTGTGGTTGATTGAACGGTTGTGAATTACTGGATGGTTGATTACTCTGATAAACATTCATTGATTCTTTGCCACTAAGTTGTGAATTCATTGGTGAAAGGTCAACAGGTTGTGAGTTCGTTTGCTGTTGATTCATAGGTTGTGGGTTTATCTGTGGTTGATTGAACGGTTGTGAATTACTGGATGGTTGATTACTCTGATAAACATTCATTGATTCTTTGCCACTAAGTTGTGAATTCATTGGTGAAAGGTCAGCAGGTTGTGAGTTCGTTTGTTGTTGATTCACGGGTAGTGAGTTTATCTGTGGTTGGTGAAATGATTGTGAATTACTGGATGGTTGATTAATCTGATATACGTTCGTTGCTGATTTGTGACCAAGTTGTGAATTCATTGGTGAAAGGTCAACAGGTTGTGAGTTCGTTTGTTGTTGATTCACGGGTAGTGAGTTTATCTGTGGTTGGTGAAATGATTGTGAATTACTGGATGGTTGATTAATCTGATATACGTTCGTTGCTGATTTGTGACTAAGTTTTGAATTCATTGGTGAAAGGTCAACAGGTTGTGAGTTCGTTTGTTGTTGATTCACAGATAGTGAGTTTATCTGTGGTTGACTAAATGATTGTGAATTACTGGATGGTTGATTACTCTGATAAACATTCATTGATTCTTTGCCACTAAGTTGTGAATTCATTGGTGAAAGGTCAACAGGTTGTGAGTTCGTTTGTTGTTGATTCACGGGTAGTGAGTTTATCTGTGGTTGGTGAAATGGTTGTGAATTACTGGATGGTCGATTAATCTGATATACGTTCGTTGCTGATTTGTGACCAAGTTGTGAATTCATTTGTGAAAGGTCAACAGGTTGTGAGTTCGTTTGTTGTTGATTCACGGGTAGTGAGTTTATCTGTGGTTGGTGAAATGATTGTGAATTACTGGATGGTTGATTAGTCTGATATACGTTCGTTGCTGATTTGTGACCAAGTTGTGAATTCATTGGTGAAAGGTCAACAGGTTGTGAGTTCGTTTGTTGTTGCTGATTCACAGGTTGTGTGTTTATCCGTGGTTGGTGAAATGATGGTTGATTAACCAGATGTTCGTTCAATGACGTTTTGTCAATGACTTGTGAATTCAATGGGGATGGGTCCATAGTTTGTGAGTTCGTTGGTGGTTGATTCACAGGTAGTGTGTTTATCTGTGGTTGATTAAACTGTTGGGTGGATGGTTGGTTAATTTGATATACATTCGCTGGGGTTTTGTCAATGGGTTGTGCGTTCATATCTGGTTGGTTAACATATTGTGCAGTGATGAGTTTTTGGTTTGTGGATTGGGGGTTTACATGTGATTGGATACGAGTTTGTGTTTCTGTAGACGATTGTGACTGTTTCTTTGTGTATGTGTTCACGGGTGCACGGGTCATAGGTTGTGAATTTAGTCCTTGTTGTTTCATAAGATACGGGGACACGCGTAGAGGTTCCGACTTTGAATCTCCTAGTGTAGTCCTAAAAAGGTGTTGATGGAATGCAGTGTGCATTGGATCACCTTGAGGATTTTGATTACGTGTCTGATAACTCGGCTGACCAGAGGTTTGAGGCACTGGTCTGACATTAGCTGTTTGTTCTACTTTACGCAACGGATTCGAGTCATGTGTAGTTGATGCATGCCCATGGCTTTGGGCTATGAATTTAGATAGGGCAGTCATCATGTTCATTGATTTTCTTGATTCTGCTGAAATATGGCTATGTGAACTGACTGTATCAGTACGAGGGACATTCCTACCAGCTATGTTCATTGTAGGGTTTGTTTCAATGGTATGCCATGTGCCGGGTGCACTATTACTAGCGTGTTGATTATATGAGTTGGGGGTCCCAGGTGCTACTTGACCCCCTTGATACCCCTGTCCTCCACCTCCTTGAGTTCCTTGAACGCCTTGATTCACCTCAATTACGTGACCTACTTGAGCGTTTTGACTCCCTCCACCGTGCATTGTCTGACTGTTACGGCCTCCGTAGCCTCCTTGACTTGCCCTACTTGCATGACCACTCACACGTGGTACAACTACTTTTGGGGAAGTTCCGTCTGAAAAGATAAAAATGGAGGTGAGATGTAGGTACGTTTTGTTTACAGACAGCTGCATCATTTATCTCACAAGTGACTTTCATTACTAGTGGATTGTACACCTCAGCCAGACCATCATTAAGATATTCATTACACTGTGGGAGAGCTGGTGTCATCTCAGCCATCTATTCCAGTGAACTGACCTCCCGTGGGGTAATTTATAGGAATTTTAGTGAACTTTCCATTCCATTAAACATCAGGTCCAATCATATACTATATAGTATAATAAATAAATAGGAATATTCAATAATAAGGCGCAGGCTCGATGACCTGGTCGACTCATGTCATCGTATCCCAATTGCGTAGATCGATGCTGATGTTGATCACTGGATTGTCTGGTCCAGACTCGATTATTTACAGACCGCCGCCATATAGTTGGAATATTGCTCAGTGCGGTGTTAAACAACCAACCAACCAACCAGGAGCCACAACTGTTGACATTTTGTATCTCTAATGAGATAAATAGTGCAACAGCGTAACAGAGACACCTGACTGAGATTTGCATTAGTCGTTGAACGTTAGATGACCATAGATTGTGTTTGATCACGTGTTTTTTTGCAATGATGTCAAAGCGGCACTTGTGCTCGTTTCCAACTGAAATCACATGAATCCTATGATTCACCACAATATTTGTAGTATTAAATGCAGATGATACAGTGTTATTAGCCACAAGTGCTAATTATCTACAGCTGATGGTATACTCATTTCATTCCTATTGTATACATTCGATAATGAAATATGTTGATGATTAGAAGAACAATTAAAAAATGGTCGTAGTGTTCTGAAAAGTTGATTCCTGCAAATACCTTGGTCGAGCCATTCCATAAACGAAGCAAAAATGGACAGAAGCAATGAATGCTATGTTATACCAAGGACGGAAATGAAGGTGATCACTTGAACACAGATGGACCTTTTGGAGAGTAGGATTATTGTCAGTCCTACTTCATAATTGTGTGTTCATAGAAAGCTCCAGTTAAAGGCACCACAAGGAGGATATTAACAAGGACGTCAAGTCACGATCGTAGATTATTATTGCCTTTTGTACTCTCCATCACATGGCGCATTTCACCACCGTAGATCAGCCAGGGGCGATGTTTGACAACGACATAATTTTAAGCCATGTGATTGACAGATTAATGCTTCGTTGTTGTGGCCAGTACACCAATTAGATTAGCTTCATGCACGATGCAATCGGTCAGGTGTTCTCTGTAATATTGTTTTTGTATGTATCAACATATTACTATCTTGATAAATGGAAGAAAATGATAAATGGCCAATATATAACAAAAACAATCTGTAGTCTATGAAATAAAACATGGCACAAAAACTGAGTGCTATGGTCGTATGATGTTAACAAGGGCGGTCATTGTCAAGGTTCTGGCATACAATCCTGCAGAAATCACATAAATGAATAACCGAGCACAATGTCACTAACTGGCGTAACTTCCGCCAAGTGCAATAACATCCCTGACACTCCTCCTCATTGAATGTATCAGACGTTGAATTGGACTCGGAGGTATTGCGTTCCATTCTTGATGGAATTGAAATCTGGACTCAGGACTACGGCCGAAGGTAGTGTTGTTACCGCCTCTTGAAGTAAGAAATCACAAACGGCATGTGCACGATGTGGCTAAGCATTGTTGTCCATGCAGACTGGCCATGTGTTCAGAGGATGGTCATCGAGATGTGGTACAACCCTGTCTAGGATGTCAGTGATGTACCGTCGCCCAGTCAGATTTTGTCTGATCGTCACAAGGTGAAGTTTACAGTTATGCGAGAGGTGCCCCCTCACAATCAATGCCCCCCGCCAAATGATACTTGCTCCAAGATATTTCGTCGTACATGTGTAGTGTTTCTGCGGTGCGAAACACGTGCTTGGCCATCTGTCATGAACAAAGAATTCAAATTTCCGACCAGTGAAATCTTCCTCGTGCCCTCCAGTTCCAGTGACGGCGAGCTTGACACTAAGATCCTCGTGCTGCGTTGCTCCGTTGCTCCAGGGAAGTCGGACGTATGCTGGGTCGTCTGGCTCTATTCCCGAGTTGGTATCGGTCTGTTTGACAAACGACAATGTGGAAGCCACTTGACATGAATGAAGGGCTGTATCCTGCTTCGGAGTTGTCACTCACGGAGTTGTCACTTGACTTGAACGCCGATGTCTTCTGATAGTCATGACAGCCAGCATCTCTTGCAATAGCCCTTAATAACATGCCAGCATTCAATATACCAATAAACCGCCTCCGTGGTGTAGTGGTTAGAGCGTCCGCCCGGAGAGCGGAAGGTCGCAGGTTCGATCCCCGACCGCGTCATACCAAAAGACGTTAAAATATGGTACTTGTTGGTCCCTGCCTGGCGCTCGGCATTAATGGGTACAACAAGGACTGGTCGGCTCGGAGTCAGTATAATGTGTCTGAGTGGGCTATTCATGCTTCACTGCGGCATGGTATCTCAGTGGGCTAGCACTATAAACCCAGCTTCAGTCTGGGCTAGTACAAGCAGCCGCACATACACATGCACACGCATGCACGTCGTCATATGAGCGAAATATTCTCAAGCACGACGTAAAACCCAATTTCACCTCACCTCACCGTATACCAATAACTTGCCATCTTCGAGTAGTTGTCCGTTGAGGAGGTCTTTTATTTGCTTATCAACAAGGAAATTCTTTTTCCAATTTATTATTGCGTTGTAAGAACAGTTCACTGAAATATGCTGATACTTGATATATCACCGGTACACGTATTGCACGTGATTCTTGCTTGTACATGCATATCTAAAACCAATATATGGCACGCCCGCAGGGTACAAAAAATCATTCACACAAACTTAATAATGGTATGAATTTAAGCGGCTCAATGGCGGTTAACTCATGTGTTGCGATACTTTTGTCTGTGTGTATATATACACATGGTACTACTAGGTACAGACACATACACACAGACACACACAGACTCACGCACACACACACACAGACATATGTATATAACTCTATGAAACACTTACGGTCACAGGTGCACTTCGACTGATGATATACTGTTCCGGGGGCACATTTCCTTGTCATCAATTTTCCATGGACTTTCTCAAAATACATGTTTGGCCTTTGCAGGTTCGGTGACAGGTTTGGACAGATCTGACCTGAAACATGACAAGTAACACTCATGATCATGATACTGGCAGTTGGTGTACACGGCTGAGGCAACTGTTTACCCCAGTGGTATATCTGATTAAGTCGTGTGGTTATGATGTATGGGAAGGGTAACTGAACAAATATCCACATCTATTCTGGAAAACCAAAGTCGATAGGTCTAAACATGTCTACACCAAACCTACACGTTTCGCTCTTACAGCTGCTGGGAAGTATCTGAAAAAACAGAAACACCAGGCCCTGATTTCTCGAAACAAACTTAAGGTTTTACTCAAATTTCAAACTGAGTTTGACAATTTGAAACAACTGAATTTTTAACTCAACTGCATTTTTAAAATAAAAAAGCCCAAACAACTTAAGTATTCTATCCAGTAAAATCAAATTGCCTAATATGTTTGAGTTTAATGTCGATTTCAGTTCTTTCTGGGAAATGCATTTTCCTGCCTTTTCTCAAATTTGAGTAAAAACTCTAACTTAAGTCAAAACTCAGACTTAAGTTTGTTTCGAGAAATCGGGGCCTGATGGTTGGATACCGGAAAACACCCTATACTGTTTTTATATTACAATAGTTCTGACTATATTAGGTATGTGTCATATGTTCTGTATTGCTTGTTTTCTCACTTATTGAGTGTCAGTGTGATAATCTCTAATGTTTTGGTGATAAAGTAGCTTTTCTTCAAGTATTTAAAATGTACAATTAAATAGGTATTTTCTGTCATGGAATAGCTCATTGAGAAAAGGTTCAAGGTTTGGGATTACACAGAGAATTAGTCCAAAATTATTTCTCTTTAATCTCCACCCAATTCCACCCTAAGCAACTGTAACATATCAGACTTGGAGCCGACTTATTGTAACTAAGGGTAAATGGAGGCAGGTGGTTATGAGTAGCTATCACTATACATGTATCTTAATATGTCATAGAAGATGAATTTCAGTGTGTCATAATCTGTTGCTATTATGGGAAGCATTGTGAATACTACTAACCGAAAATTAATGGTCAGTATTCAGATCAGAATACGTTTCAAGTGTTATTTAAAAAGCAAAGTTTTGCTGAAAATTTGCAAAAGCTAAGCTAAAAGACTGAAAAGTAAACGTAGGTTTACCATGCTGTATGAACGTTTGGTGTGTACATAGGCCACTTGACATGTTGACAAAAGCCCAGGTAAATATCTAACACGTTGAAACCAAATGAAACCACTTCCAAATTATCAAATCGTTATTAACGTCAAAACCTCTGCTGCTGGAATACAGAATAAACTATTGTAGGATATAAACGTATTACACATACTGACGAAGTAATGCCATTTTACACATATGACACATATTCCTCGGTCCGATAGTTGAAATCAGTCACTCCCTGGTCATAGTGTACCTAGCAAAGCACATGGCATTTCATTCTGTACGATATCATGAGTTGACTACCACGCTTTGTATTTCCATAATAGATCTCTCTCTCTGACTTCAATCGGTCACACCCACCCAGGGTGGTGTTTTCTCCTCTTATAGAAAGAAGAATACACACGAACAGTTGTCGTATGTAGATAAACGATTATGTACCACGTTCATTAATATCAAGTAGTATCAATTATAGCATATGAAATACAGAATCTAGTTACCAATAAGCTAGTCAACAGTTTAACGTCACATGATGTTACGTTACCATACGGAATGTGAACTGACGGAATCACAACATATGTCATTTTAAGCAAGTTCTTTTCAAGGAAAATAAGTCTTGGGACTTCACCAATTCATACTCACAAAATATGTCCATGTGTCGTTATCGAGGTGGACCCGATTTCATTAACGTCTTTGTAAGACAATGCATGTAAATGCCACTCATTTATTAAATATCCATCATGACAAAATATCTTCTCTTATCATAACATCTCTGCTATATGGTGAGTTCATTATACAATTCCGACTGTAATATAATATAAACTAGCGATTTTACATGGTGTTTGCTAAACCTGACCCAAAACCCCCATATACATAAAAAGGCAACTCAAGAATTCCTAAGAACAAAGTAAGAGTTATATGTCAAATTTGGAATTGTGTCACTCAAAACGTGTCGTTCATAAACTTCTAAAAGCTTCGATGAGGTCTTGAATGCTCTGAAGCTGATGAAACAATATTTTAGCAAGAGACTTATGGTGGTCTCTGAAACCGTGAAATACAACATACGCTCGACTGAATCTAAGGCCTAATATGGAGAGTTGAACTCATCCCTCTTGTCATTCAGGTTTGTGGCCTTGTTTTATCTCTCAGAATATCCATGCCTCTATGCATCAACATTTAACACGGAGTAGGAGGTTTAACAAGTCTCCTTCATTTCTGGTGGGACAAAGTCATTGAAACTGATTGATGTACCCTAACAAATTCTCATTTTTTTACTTTGCCAATGCCAAAGGGAATTTCAATTTCCAAATACAAAAACACAGATAAGCCATTGGTGGAGCCTTCGGCTTTATATTCCACAAAACATTGCAGAGAACATTCAATCATGCAAATGCAAAACACTTGGTTCGACACGGAAACCATACTGATATATTGTTTTGTGTTACCCATATGTTCACGAAGCACGTGGAGAAACATGTGTTTCTCTTTGTGACAGATTCGTGTAAATCCGTCTATCTGAAGCACAAAAGCCAGAGAAGGTATTTTATGAACTTAGTATTTATCAAAGTAATAGTTTTTCTCTTGTCAGACACGCATTACTGCAATTAATCGCTAACATGTCAAATACATTTCCCCTGACAGTGTTAACAATAGGCTGGAGACAGTGATGAATGTATGACGAATGTATTGTGTAAATCCATCAGATTGTGAGATGCAGATCTTCCTTTGTGTTGATGCACTACTTCCTGATATGTGTCATGTCAATTAGTATTATGTCATATTTCAAGGAAAATAGAAAAGTTGAAGTTATATGTGCTGGACATACAATTCGAGTTTCTGTTGTTGTACGCTCTAACGACTAGATACTCGGACACATAATGTTGATAGATTGATTAAGACCTACACAGCGCTTCCAACCCCAAGAGTGAGAGAAAAACATGGGATGCCGGGGTCCAAGGGCTGCCCTCAACCACCGGGTCTCGAAGCCCCCTGAAGAAAAAGCATAACTGTAAATTCTGTTCCCAGTTTGGCGTGAAAATTTATCAGTTTTGCGATGAAAGTAATAAACGCGTGAGTATGTATGAGAGTTGGCAGGTATGTCTATATGGAAGCAGATATTGAAACAAGCGGAACTCCACCAGTATTTTGGGGGGAATATAAACCGTTAAACATGACTGGTGACTTTACTTATGATACATGCACATGTCACAGAGGATGTAACCACGTTACAGGTTAATCCTTGCGTAATGCCCTTCTTTATCCTACCCAACTCTTCCGTCAAAGGTTGCAACACATTAAAGTCTTGGGTATTTACAAAATTAAAAAACCCAGTTAACACAAAACATTTTCGAAACATTTTCATAAGGTTTCAAAATAGTTTTTCAAAAACATTTTCGTCAAAATGTTTTTGGAATGTTATAAAAATGTTTCACAACAAATCATAATGTTATTGAAATGTTTTTGGAATGTTATTAAAAAACGTCATGCTATAACATGAGTGAAACTATTTCATAACATGCCATTGAAACATTTTTAAAACGTTGCAGAAATGTTGTGCACGAACATGTTTGATGAAATATTGTCATCACGTTTTAAAAACATTGTGCACACATTTATGCCATATCATACAAATAATGTCTAAATCTCTCAAAAATACTGAAAATGTTTTTGAAATGTTTTCAAAATGTTGTTCAAAAACGTCATGCTATAACGTGTTTGAAACTATTTCACAACATATAAGTGAGATGTTTTTAAAACGCTACAGGAATGTTATGCAAGAACATGTTTAATGAAATATTGTCATCACGTTTTAAAAACATTGTGCACACATTTATGCCATATCATACAAATAATGTCTAAGTCTCTCAAAAATACTGAAAATGTTTTTGAAATGTTTTCAAAATGTTGTTCAAAAACGTCATGCTATAACGTGTTTGAAACTATTTCACAACATATAAGTGAGATGTTTTTAAAACGCTACAGGAATGTTATGCAAGAACATGTTTAATGAAATATTGTCATCACGTTTTAAAAACATTGTGCACACATTTATGCCATATCATACAAACAGTGTGCGAAATAGCCACTGGCCCGGTAGCCCATGGCTAGTTAAAATCCAGTCGGGCCAGTAAATCTCCACAGTCACTAGCCCGACTGGCAAGTGAATTTTCATGGGATCATTTTGTAAATATATCACTCTCTCCGACTTGTTAATTTATAATACACTTTTAAATCATGCAAGATTATGGCCTGATGAAAATGTTCATCATATTATCAGCTTAATAATGAAAGCCGTGCCATATCATACAAATAATTTGTAAATCTCTCAAGAATACTGAAAATGTTTTTGAAATGTTTTCAAAATGTTGTTCAGAAACGTCATGCTGTAACATGGGTGAAACTATTTTATAACATATGATTGAAATGTTTTTAAAACATTGCAGAAATGTTGTGCAAGAACATGTTTAATGAAATATTGTCATCACGTTTTAAAACACTGTTTATGTTGTAACGCTGGTGTGACATAAACAGTACATACACTGCAATCACAAACCATATCTCACTCAGCCACGTTCTAATGTATGACTTGTCATTAAAGTGCCTTAAACGTTCCTGAAATGTTTTAGCCGGATCTGTCATCACATTTAAAATGTGTTTTTTTATTATGACTTGTTCTTAAAATGTTTTTAAAATGATATCACACCTACACGTTTTGATAACATTTTTAAAATGTTGCGACTCAATGCCTTATTGTTACTGCGGGGAATGACGTCACCCTTCACGTCATAATTTTGCACCCGCCATCTTAGTGGAAGTTTATTCAGGACCCTACGACCTTGTCATTCGACTCATGGTGCAAAAACTGGAACTGGATC